GGAAATCAATTCCATTAATAAATGTTCCCTGTCAGAAAATGGAAAAATTGATCAGGGTAATCTGGAGTGTCTCCATGTGTGTCACACAATAGACCACATCATAGTTTATTTTCATCTTCAGTGCATGTTTAATTTAATCTTCACTGCATGTTATCTAACTCCCCTGTCATTTCATCATCAGCTCATTACCCTCACCTGCACTGCATGAAAAGTGAGATTTTCGTCCCCGTAAACGCCCGGAAATCTCCCTAATTTCCGACAATTTCCGACAATTTGCAACCCGCGCACGTCGCGTTTGTCTGTGCCACAAATTGTCACAGTTGGACATCAATGAATTTATAGAGAAAATAAACATTTGCCACATGTTTATGCAAAGAAAGAGCTTTATTAACAACACACAAACAACAACTACATACAAAGTGAGGATCTGCCCACACTTGGGTAAAGGCGGTTTAAAAAACTACAGCTCAGTAAACTGTCCGTTTGCCTCCTCGGGGTTGTAGACCGTCACTGGCGCCGTGTTTTCCGAGGCAGGTCTGTTGTGCAGGCGCCTAGTGTGTGTGTGGCGACCGTACAATCCACCCCGAGACCCCGCCAACCACGCCATCCTCTCCGTCCGACGTGAGCTCTACGGTGGCGGATTTCCAGAGTTCCACCTCGTCATCAGCCAGCACACTTTGTCTCGATTCCAGCAGCTGTAAAAACAACAATGAATCAGTACTGTGCGATGCGTACGGACACAACACATCTATCAATGCACCTGAAAAAAGTCAGCAAATAAACTCTGACCCTCTTTCTTCTCGCTCGACTCCGCGCTGAATCCTTCGCAGCTTCCGCCCGCAATGAGTGTTCCGGCTGAACCTGAAGCTCCTGCCAGTTGAGCGCATTGCTAGAAGATGTGTGGTTAATATATCCTCTGTGCATTTAAGTAAGACCAAAGAAAAGGTCACTGTAGTCCTGCCACTATGCACTGTAGTTGAGCTCTAGGAGACTGTGATCTCTGCAGACCCCTCATGCTGATTCAAATGTTGTTTGCATGGAATGCTCATTTTACCTTGATTAAAACAAATTTTTTAAAGAAGTTATTTTGTGTTTATCTCTTTTACATAACATTTGCCATTGCTAATGGTGTACACAGTAATCTAGCATATTTGAATTAAATAAATCAATTCAAGCTCAAATGTAAGAGTCTATAATTATGCTACTGAGCCTGATCTATTTGTACCAGAGATTTTCTTACCTTTTAAAAAAATGTCACCTGGGCTAAAACTCCCTCTGCGACCCTGATTTGCATTTGTATAGCTCACAGCATTTTCATTTACATGTCAAAGCCTCCCCTACAATTAGGAGGAGGGGGGACAACTGCCAAGGGAGGCCCACATCAATTTCTGACAATTTACGGCAGTTTTCGGCATTGCCCACAAATTGCGGTGAACAGCCGCAAACCTGAAATTCCACGCCAATTTACAGTGCCGCATACTGCCAAAAATCCCACTTTTCATGCAGTGCTGGTTCTCCTTTCCCTCACCTGAAGCACATCCCCCTCATCAGCCACTCACTATTTAAGCCCGTCGCATTCGCATTCGTGCACCGGTACCAGTAACCGTGACAATGTGACTGTGTGAATTCTGTATTCATCCTACATCAATTAAATCTGTTCGGACTCGTGCTCTCCACCAACGGACAGTCGAACATGAGAAACTGAGTTCAGGAACACTGCATATGCGCAAAGCCCCAATTAACGGTATAATTAATGGTATAGTCTCCGACTTACTGCCGAACTATTGAACATTGACAGATGGCCAGATTGTTTTATGAATCTTAAAAGAGCTATCCACAATTTGAAAAAAAATATTTATTTTCTTCATGGGCCCCCACCCATAAGCTTTTCTTTAGCTTCTTTGGTGGGACACATTCACCTTTACCCAATTAATCTTGTACCTCCCCAGCTGTATTATGTTTCAAGTGGTATTGTGTGAATAAATAAAATTCATTCATTCAATTCATTCATTAGTAAAATAAACCCGAGGTCAGGTGTTTTTTACTAATCTACAAATTTCCTTTCTGGAATTGAATGTAAATAAGCATTCTTTTGTCAAATATCTAAAAACTGCATGTGGGAAAATTTGAAGGAAACAATTGTCTTGACGTATAATCCATGGTGATCTATATTAATTATATTAATATAAATATTTACCCTGTTCATATGGGGGTAAATCCATTCATGGCTTAACATTTTAAATCTTGTTTCTTTATGCTTTTTGGGTTTCAGAAAGGTGATAAATATATTTTTTAAAGAAACTGAACCCTTTAGACGTGACGTCCCATGCACGCTGCTTCAACATGTGGAGAAATGAAAGTTTTTTCTAGTTAGGAATGCTGCTTGGACATTTGCTTTGAGAACGTTAGCGAAGCGTTTTGACAGTTAGTATAGACTGCATTCTACAAACAAACTGCACAAGTAGTAGCCCTACTTAGAAATTCAAATGCCACAAATGTAATAAAAAGTAGCCTTCCAGTTTTTACCACAGAGGAGATGGAGGCATGCACAGCCATCCCGGAAGCCCCAGTGGTTTGTCAGGATCTCCAATCCCCCCGAGTTGGTTGATGAGAAGAATCGCAGCACGTTGATCAATTAAAGTCAAAAAGTTAACATTTATTTAGAAGAGAAAAAGATTACATGAGCAATTTTCCGCAGATATCTGGCTCTAACTATTGCTTGCAAGCAGGAGGTCCAACACACCAGCACGTATCTCAGCGCTCGGTGTAATGACGTCCCCGAGCAGTAACAACGCTGATTTTTTATACACATGTGAAGGCCATTCTCCGTGCCAGTTACGAGAAGCTACAAAGCAAGTTGAGATAAGAACCCAGGTGAAGATGAGGGTAGCACACACACACAGCAAGATCCTCCTCAGTGGCCGGTGCAAATCATAATTAATTGACATAAAGTAAAAACGTGGATCCGGAACGAAAGTTCCGAATGAGATATGAACCAAGGCCATGAACAGAATTCCTTTGTTTTGAAGCGTCTATGAGATCGAGTTAACCGCCCTCCCTTCTCAGGACACAGCTGCAAAGCAACATTTTGTATCATGCTGCACATCAGGGTCAAATACAGGACACTTGAGACACGGCTTTAGCACAAAACAATGTTATAATATATTTTACCACTACATGCATCTCACAGGTTCCAACTAGTCAAACAGGTTAATAAAGAATTTCACAGTTCTGAATGTCATTGTCTTTCTCCCATGCTTTAAATCGTAGATGGCGATAAAGACTCTGTAAAGCCTATGAGTTGTGACGTTAAGCATCCTCAGTGGTTTAATTTATATATTTTCTACCTATTTTCTATGAAAACACTCACGCACCATAATTGTCCCTTTTCATCATGCGAGAAAGATCAGAAGAGAGCATGAGAAAGGCAGCTTCCATGGGTCTGCAGGGCTTTTCAGTTGCTGTTTATAGATGTCTATACAAATACAGTCTGTCTACATTGACACCTCTCACTGTGAGGCCGTATGGGGATTAGCTCCATATTCACCAAACAATATGATTTCAGTCTGCAATTATCTGGTTAGAGGAAAATAAACTTTTCCATAAACTCACCGTTTTCTATAGTGTTGATTCGATTTCAATATGATAGGCTGCTCAGAATGTAGCAGCCAACTGTATTTTAGTGGTATAAATGTAAAAAGGAAGATTAACATTGTTTCTGTCTTCAAAAAGAATACTTGCCAATAATTGTTTGTTTTTTGCACTTTCTGTGTGAGAGTTACATTGTTTTTCTGCAGTGGCTCCATTTTTTTTGTTTATTCCTCAACAACTATTTGTTTTATAATCTTCCTGCTTGTCGTTTTGTTCTAATTAAATCTGTGCCACACGCAGTCCAGATGCAGTTGCACTTCAAGACGCAATCACGAACTGTTGTTGAAAAGGAGAGGCGGAGAGGTGTTATTTATTCATATACCCTCTTTTAATTACGATTTATTGCAAAGTGGAGTGTACAGGTGAAGGGCTATTCCCAGGTTGTATGGTCCTTGGGCTGCCACCAGCATCTCTCACACTTATGAATCATTTTGAACGATGGCCCAGATGTGTACTTACTCCCTTTGCATCTATTCAGAACCACGCAGACTAGAAGACTGATATTCTATTAAATAATGAGAAAAAAAGATTGAAATTGATTTTTAGGCATTGAGTTTTTCATGAATTAATGATACAGGGGGATTTAAAAGCTCGTTGGATGAAGCCAAGTGTAGCATCAATGTGGAGGAGTCAGCCAGGTGTGAGGTGAAGACAAGAAGCGTGCCGATTAAGTCAGTCAAGTGTGACGAGTCTCATTACCTGCAACTCAAAAAAGTCGGAAGGAAACAAAACCGAAAGAAAAAAACAGGGACAGTAAACCGACGGATCAGAACTATAATCCTACTCTGTTTTTACACTTTGATTGCCAAGATGATGCATCTTTTCAACATACATTGCTTACTGCATGTGCCCCCCTTCATCTAGTTTCCAATGGATGACAGGCAGCAGATTGTGTCTGTAATGACGGTTTATAAATATGTGCATGAATAAAAATAGCTTCTTAGGTGTCTAATGCCGGGCTTCATTCGAGGATCCTTGTGTGAATTCTCACACCTTCTTTGCATTGCAAAATGCATGCATGTGAATGTTAAGATGGAGAATATTAATGTGAAAAAATCCTCAAGGATGATAATCAGACCATCTCATCAAGCCAACACCGTCCAACTACCACATTGGGATTTTATCTGTCTTCCACAGACACACGCACGCACACACACTATTCCTGGATGGTCACATATCATCCTTACATAACAATGAAAGTTTGATCAAAAACCTGAAGCCCAGGGTTGATATCTAAGTGGCACTAAGTTATCCCTTCGTCTTGTGCAACAGAATTTTGTCAGACATAGGGAACCAAAATTAGAGTTTGTCATCTCTAATACGATCCTTGTTGTGTTTTGTTTCTGCAGGTCCTCTTCGTATGAACTAACATGGACAAAGTGGTCATCAGTCTCCTGCTTCTGGGAACCGCAGTTGTGATGGTCCATGCATGTCCCAAATACTGTGTCTGCCAGAACCTTTCTGAGTCTTTGGGGACTTTGTGCCCCTCCAAAGGGCTGCTCTTTGTCCCACTGGACATCGACCGGCGAACTGTGGAGCTCAGACTGGGTGGCAACTTCATCCTCAAAGTCACAACCCAAGACTTTGCCAACATGTCCGGTCTCGTTGATCTTACTTTGTCTAGGAACACCATCAGCGCCATTCAGCCTTTCTCTTTCCTAGACTTGGAGACCCTGAGATCACTGCATCTTGACAGTAACCGGTTAACTCAGCTGGGACCGGATGACCTCCGAGGGCTGGTTAACCTGCAGCACCTAATCCTCAACAACAATCAGCTGAGTCAGATCTCTAACACAGCCTTTGACGACTTGTTAGGGACGTTAGAGGATCTGGATTTGTCCTATAACAACTTGCGCAGTGTGCCTTGGGAAGCCATCCGCAAGATGGTCAACCTCCATCAGATGAGTCTGGATCATAACCTCATCTCCTTCATTTCCGAGGGGACTTTTACTGATCTGGATAAACTGGCCCGCTTGGACCTCACGTCCAACCGTCTCCAGAAACTCCCTCCAGACCCGATCTTTGCGCGCTCCCAGACCAATGCGGTGGTGGGCACTCCTTTTGCACCTCCTCTCTCTCTAAGCTTTGGTGGAAATCCATTACACTGCAACTGTGAAGTGCTTTGGCTTCGAAGGCTGGAGCGTGAGGATGATATGGAAACCTGCGCATCTCCCGCCAGTCTAAAAGGGCGCTACTTTTGGTTTGTCCCTGAGCCAGAGTTTATTTGCGAGCCCCCCTTGATCACTCAGCATACCCACAAGTTACTCGTGCTGGAAGGCCAAACTGCAAGCCTGCGCTGCAAAGCAGTTGGAGATCCGATGCCGACGGTGCATTGGGCGGCACCAGATGACCGTTTGATCAGCAACTCCTCCAGAGCAACGGTATATGAAAATGGCACCTTGGATATCACAATCACAACATCCAAGGATTACGGGACCTTTACTTGCATAGCTGCCAATGCTGCCGGGGAATCTACGGCCTCCATAGAGCTGTCAATCATTCAACTCCCCCATCTGAGTAATGGTACAAATCGTACCACGCAGTCCAAGTCGGGGCTTTCGGATATAACTAGCTCTACCAAAATTAGTAAAGGGGAGCCCAAGCCTCTACCAGAGAAGGTGGTGTCTGTATCTGAAGTGACTGCCGTCTCTGCTTTGGTCAAGTGGACTGTTAGCAAATCAGCTCCTACGGTCAAAATGTATCAGCTTCAGTACAATTGTTCAGAGGATGAAGTCCTCATTTACAGGTAAGAATGAACTTGATTCTTCCAAGTATGAGATGAAACCTTTTCTGGTAATCGTGTTGAATCAAACCTGTAGCTGCTGCTCAGCTTCTTTAGTCAATTCCCTAATTGTTTACTTGGAGATCAACATTCCTTTTTCTTGAGATTTTTCTTCTTAAAATTGACATTCGCGTTCACCAGAACAATGAACACCAAGTGCACATTCATCAAAGTGAAATCCTTGCCCTGAGCCATTAAGTAAAAATCCAAAAAGAAAAAGGATTATAGACACTTATTTTAATGGATCCTTCCTAAGCTGCTCAAGTTCAAGTATAAGCTTGGAGACTGTAGCTGGAGATCTTTGAGGTCTGTGAAATCAATTTCCTACGTCAAATGAGACAGAGAGTAGTTGCATTTGACCAAGATAATTGAGCTGGAACCATGAAAACAGCCTACGCGTTTAGCATTAAATCAATCTGTAAGTTGAAAAAGCCAAAAGGCTTTGCAATCAAGTAGATGCATTTCTAAGTAACTAGAGCCTTAGCATGCTTAAAGGGAAATAACACAACTTTTTACACCAATGACAGTTTCTGGCAAATCCCTTCAGCAACTCCTCATTCAAACACCTAGACTATACCTGTACCATTCCAGCACGAGTGGTTCAATGAAAGACAATTGACAGAATGAGTCTGGTTATGTCTGGGAGTGTTAGATTAGATGTGATATTGAGGACAGATATTGCTTTGTTCCAACACTGTGAATGCAATCAACAATAAAGCTGTTTAACTGATTATTTTACTTGCACAAAGCTTGCTGTGTCACATTAATATCCCCCCGAAAAAAAACGTTACGTTTCAGCACCTTTTTCTTTTCTCAACATCGGGTAACTCATAATACTTTAACTCATAATGTGATGTTGTTGTAATTCAAGAATCATTACTTCAAACTTATTAAATTATTAACTGAATTGCCCTTATGTGATTTGTCTCTTAACAGCATTTTGTAACAAATGTATGTGCTACATATAATGATGGCTGTGGAGTCCCTGTTGCATGTGAGGAGAGACAAATTATGAGCCTGAAGGGAACGATAGCGTGCACAGAGAAGTACTAACTACCGTCTTTGAATTAATATTACCATTGCTTCATCGCTCCCACGTGCACACACACTGCACTCCTAGTTTGCTGTCTCCCCGGGCACTGCTCGCACTCCACCAATGGCATGATTAAAAATCTGAGCCACGTGGGGAGGACAATTATTGCATGAGTTTTCTCATGTGAGCCAACGCAGTGTCTTGGCGGCCAAGAAAAAAGGCAATTAAGGGGCAATAACTGAGCGCAACCCCACCGCATTTCAGAGCATCATGGATAGACTCTGGGTAGAAGATGCTCTTAAAGACACTATTTTTCTGTTCCACTCCAGCAAGTAACATGGAGTAACAATTTTTGGCGAAAGGGTACATACACCTTTTATCTCAGATATACCCTCAATTTAGCTCAAGTACCCCTTCGGTAATGCCACCCACCCTGTAAAATATTTCAAAACTATTTATCATATAAAAGCTTATGTGATATTATGAGATATTTTTATCTGTTATGAGTTATTTTAGACCGAAAAAAAGAGAGTTAATCGTTGTCTCCCAGCTTTATTGGTCGTAATTGGATTACTATTACTGCATCACAACTTCCCAAACAAACTGCACCAGCAGTTTCACCACATAGAGTTTGATCAAAGCAGACTAAAAGTAGGCCCGTAAAAGCATCCTAACTTTGTCCAGAACTCCCATCGCAAGAGGTCTATATTTCTAATGCTGTATCTGTCATTCTTTCTGTATCTTGTCAGGATGATTCCCGTGACTAACAGAGCCTTCGTAGTGACGAGTCTTGTCCCAGGGATGCAGTATGACCTGTGTGTCTTGGCCATCTGGCATGACACCGCCACCACCCTGACTGCCACCAACATTGTCGGCTGTGTCCAGTTCATTACCAGGGAAGACTATCCGCAGTGCCAGTCGCTCCACAGTGGCTTCCTGGGTGGCACCATGATCCTCGTCATCGGTGGCATCATTGTGGCCACGCTGCTGGTGTTCATCATCATCCTCATGGTGCGGTACAAGGTGACCAGTGGCATACAGACTAATAAAATACCCGCTTTGAGCAACACATACTCACAAACAAACGGAGGATTGAGCAGGTTCAACGGTGCGCCACCTCAGGTGAAGTCCACAGTGGTGGTTATGCATGAGGAAATGGTAGAATTCAGGTGTGGATCCCTTCAGAGCAGTTTGTCCTCGTCCTCATCCTCCTCTAACTCATTAGAAAGCCAAACAGGAAGGAGGGCTGTCGATCGCCAAAGTATGCAGGGCAGCGAATGCAGCACCCTGCCCAGGAGCAAATTCAGGAGGCACAGGCACACCGCTAAAGCACAGCCAAACCTGGACCACCTTTTAGGGGCCTTCACCTCATTGGAGCTCCGAGGGGTAGGGGGGGAGCACCACGGGACTTTTGGCACCCCCAACACTACCAATGCTGTGATGACGGTGGCTGTGGTACCCCCGTCAGATAAAGAACCCCTGCTCGGGAGAGCGGAGTCCACCACCATGCTGGGACGTCTATTAGGGATGCCGCAGGAAGTTATGCCCAAGAGGAGTCACTCGTTTGACATGGGTCATGTGGGGGCCGTGCAGTGTCGCAGCAGCTACCCTCGCAGGATCAGCAACATCTGGACTAAACGCAGTCTGTCCGTGAACGGCATGCTGCTGCAGTACGACGACAGCGAGGACGAAAAGCCTTTTGAGAGCTCTGAGTGGGTGATGGAAAGCACAGTTTGAATGCTTCATGGCTGAGCGATCTATACCAGGAGCTGAGGGAACAGGAGTTTTACAAGCAGGGTGTTCCAAAAGGAATCTGCGTTTGGGTATTGCATGAAGTTCACCCAAGTGAATACCGTCTGAGTGATTATGTAACAAAAAGACACAATTGAGAGATTCCAGGTCATGATCTCAAACCTCCGACAGTGTCTGACTGTGTTTGAAATATTGTCCATCTTAAAATCAACACCAAACCTTGGATTGTGTGGAGAGGAATTCAAAGTGGATTGAATCATTCTTTGTCAAAAGAACTCAACAAAGACAATGTCCCCAATGTGGGGAACTGGGTGGGCATCACAATGTCTTAGACCCCCCAGTAATGAAATGGGACCGCTGCAACAGTAGAGAGAAAGACCAAAGGCGCAAACATAGAAAAGTCTTCATCAGTCTTCTTTTTCTATAATTTAAAAATGTTATGATTTGAGGTTATTCATCAGCAGGCACAGCTCTTTGGTCAAGTTATAATACACACAAACACAAATCACTCCTTCACATACATTTCACATTCAGTCAAATATATTTTTTCCCAATATTATTCTTCTTATAGACAAGGTTTCAGTGACACTCAACCACAGAAGCTGGTCTTGTATTTCTACCTCATGTTAAATATGACGTGAGGTCACTTAAATATGAAAACGAGTGGAAATACAAACAGACCCAAATGCACATGGAAACACGAAGGTATTCCCTTGTTTGAAAATGCGCCAAAGGATGATTCAGTCTCCATCGAATCAAGTTGAGTAATGTTCCCAGCTCAGGTTTAATTCCTGCTGTAAGGGAAATGTATTTTTTCAAAGGCTTTGATACGCTTCCCGTCGGCCAATGCGGATGACAGTGGTCCCTGTAGGCTTAAATGCCATTGATGTAAACCAAGTGTTCGCCTCAGGAAACGGTTTTAGATGCTATCAACCCATATTACTGTCGCCAGACGGAAATAGACTTTGAAACCCATCAAGCCCACTTAATTATTCACTTTTGCCCATAGCAGAATGTATTATACCGCTCCAAATCTCTTTTGGTAACACAAACAAGAAGGTACAACAATTATTTAGCCAGGTCAAACGGCATTATGAGTCAATGGCTTCATAACCTCGTTGCTGCTCAAGAGAGGACGTTCATTTGAGAAAACAGAAGAAAGGGGAGAAACTTTTTAAGGGCCAAACAGCTAAAACTCTCTGGAAATCCACAACAGATTGCATGAAACGGGACCTTTGTTGGTTTATGTATCATTTGAAGTGATTCATCAAAAGGAACCTTTTTTTTTGTTTTCATTGACCCTCATACAGAGATGTACATTGCAGTAAGATACTTTGAAATAGTGGCTATTCTGGTTACTGCCTACGATGAGCACATACATCCTGGTAAATGTGGATGCCTTTATCAATATATTGTGGAATTTTGCTATATTTTGAAGATGTTGGGTGTTCATATATTTTTTCTTTTTCTCTAATTGTTTTCATCCCTAGGTGTAACGTTCTGTATATTGGAATTTTTTTGAACAATAACTGGGTGAGAATGTAAAGGGGGGGAATCGTGCAGTAGTACTTTTGTTTTCATGTGAAGCAAACAGTGAGAAGGTCCTTTACTGTGGTGTACCAACTTGATCATTGTTAATTAGCTCACTGTGATGGGATTTTACATGATACTACTTGTAAAACACATGGCTGTTCTCAAGGTTCAGTTCATCAAAAATACCATCATACATATGTTACCTTGATTTTATTACCAGTGGGTGTTTTACCATTTGTTGGCAATTTTTTAATCCATGAGCAGGACTATGCTATATAGCACTAATGGATTTCATCTGATAGACATTCCATATCTTCCTTAATGTCAACAAATCCTCGTTGCCTTTTGTCCCAGGATCACCAACATGTAGACAATGACATTATGATGAACACCAGAAATACAGGGTATCTTTGCAGATCGCAGACTGCTACACGGTAGCTGGACTCTTGGTATATGAAGCAAGAGCCACAGGATCACACATCAAACCAAAAGCCAACCTGACAGGCGTCAAGTAATGTGTTTGTGTTGGTAACCTGAGCCCATTTTAGACTTTGAATGACAACTTTACACACGGGTCGTATTAACTATTACCCACTGTTACATTGGAAGGGTGGATGGATGGAGGTTGTCATGAAACATGAAACGTTTTTGCATCACTTTAAATAAAGAGCTGGGAATTCCACTGGGAATGAGCAGCTAATTCTAAACTTACCTAAACTTACTAAACTTATTTAAATATTTAACTCAAATAACTTATTTTTCCCCTTTGAGGTTAGTGTCACATATCCAGAAAAGTTTCCCACTACTTGGAAATATTTATGATTAAAAAAAATGTATGATAAAAAAAAAAAAAATTGCAAGAGCAAATAGCATTCATCTCCATTGTATGCAGCATTGCTGCAAGAATAAATTTCAAAGATATCAATGAAACATGGTTCAATGTTTGTTTTTGGTGAACTGAGCCTTTGACCTGCTGAAGGAGAAAAAAATTGTTTCTGTGTGAAAACATTTAGCTACAAAAGATAAAATATTGATGAATTCCTATGAACCAAACTGGCTCTTTTGTGTTTTCTCTTCTTGTGACATCTCACAGATACACTAGTTATTTAGCCTTCCTTTGATTACATTACCAATTGTATTTCTGTCCTTTTTTCTGCCCTCATTGCTCTGAGCCTGAGGTGTTACCTTACCGTTCTGTCCACTACAAAGTACACAGAAGCCAATCGAGTTTCCTTCCTGCCTCGTCTTTGTTTACTGAATGATGAGCCAAGAGTTTTTCTCCTGTGGTCCAGTTACTGTTGTCCGGCTAGTTGCTGCTGACTCACCTCAGCGCTGCCCTTAATACAAATCAGTGCTACATGCAGCTCCTGGCCAGGTCCCATAAAAAGGCCTTAATTCATATAATCTGTCAGGAAAGGTGCTTACGGCAGCACAGAGTAAATACAATCTCTACAGGGGCCAAGCTGTGCATGAGAAGAAAGCCGTGGGCACCGACTGAGGGCTCAGGAACAGCATGGATTTTGAAAAGACTGCATTGCCTCAAAACCCACATTTCACACTGACGTGCTGTTCTGTGGTAGGCTGGGTTTTTAGTGAGGTAAAGTTTGTAGAAAGGTCACGTATGAAATTGTAACATGCTGTTGAGTTTCCTACAGCCGCTGAATGACAAGGACGAAGCTCTACAACTCCATCGTGCTGTCTGCACTGCTTCTTATGAACAGAAATGTACCAACATATATTTATAACAAATAGCTTAACCGAACAGCTCACGTTACTGTGACATAACTCGTCTGCCCGCATCCGCCTTTAGTTATTATATGAAAAGTCACTTAATGCCTTAGTTAATGCCTTAACTTTCAAACAATAGAGGTTGACTAAGATATTCTGATGTTGTGAAAATGTATCAACGTGAACTCAAGCAGACAGGTTATGAAGCTGAAATATCACGTTTACAGTAACCTTACTATTGTTGACAGTAAATACACAAAGAAGGTGGTTGCTTTATTTTTGTTTTGGGGTGTGATTATAAAACAACTCTACATTTTGTTTGGTTTTATGGAGTCAGTAGGAAGCAGCATCAAGGTAAAGAGAACAATGTTTGTGGTGACATTAAGCTAATATTCTAAAATAAAATTCTGTAATATCTTACAGTTAAAATAGCTTGTATCCTACGTAAGAAAAAAATATATGTGTTTGTTGTTGTTCACTGATTAGTTGGTTGATTTCCTCTGCCTTAAGATTGCAATATTACTTTTAGTTAAAAGTACATGGCCTGATTGAGTTTAATTGAATTTTAAATTACCAGAAAATGTTCTTCTCACAGCCAGAAATATATCATGCTCCAAAGGTGAAGCATATCATCCTAATTTAAACCAAATAATAATAAGATTACTATTTGTCCAATTGGCCGTCTCTATATGCATGTTGTACGTTTTTTGGGTTGTAAGTCTTTCACATAGCAAAAGCTACTGAAGCAAGCAGGAATGGTAAATGGACTGTACTTGTATAGCGCTTTTCTAGTCTTCCGACCACTCAAAGCGCTTTAACACTACATGACATCATTCACCCATTCACACCCATTCATACACTGATGACAGGAGAACCATACACAGTGACACCTGCCATCAGTAACTACCATTCATACACTGTAGTCGCAGCTACAGGAGCAATGTTGGGTTAAGTGTCTTGCCCAAGGACACAATGACATGCAGGTTAGCCGGGCCTGGGATCGAACCCACAATCCTCTGATTGGAGGACAACCGTGCTCCCCACTCACCCACAGTCGCCCCTCACGCCAGACAGTCGAATTTCCGCGACCGCTCAGTTCAGCCCATGCGGTCTTAAAAGGACCCAGCCCACGTGAACCACGAAGGCTGGGTCCTCATGAGGATGCACACAGCCAGAGTGGCAGGGGAGAGGGTACGCTAAACTGTGACTCTCTGAAGTCCCATCAGTCCAAAGTCCAAAGAAAGTCAACAGCTAAAGGTGCTTGCTACAATGGTGCTATTAAGAAAGTTTAACAGTTTTATTAGAAAAATTGAATTCATGTTTATTGATTTTTAAGACCTCCTATTTTTAAAAGATTTCAAGGGTACACATCTGTCAGTTTATTTATCATCAATTAAATTCTTCCACGTCAAAAGGGGCTCGGATCAACTGCAGAAAGAGAACCTTAGAGAACAACGGATCTGATGGCTATCATTGTTAATTTGACTGTGCTGCCTGCTGAGGACTTTACCACTCATTGTTGTGCTCCTCTCTTATCTCTGACCTTCAGTTTTATTCCAACAACTACAACAAAGTTTTCCTTTGTAGGGCAACGACCCCTTTTAGGCTTTGCAATGTTCTTTTTCTGCAGTTCCTTTCATGCAGCATTTGCAGCCACAGCTCATGCCGGGCATCTTTTATTCCTGAGCACGGCCACTAGTCGGAAAGCTGTAATATAATACAACTATATCGGAGGTCATTACTTTTCAGGTCATTTGCAAAGGCCGACTGTCATTTTCTCCCAAAAGTGGGAGTCCATTACAGGGAGGTCTGTGAAAGCAAACCGTATAGGTCCTCATAGGTACTAATGCAGCCTCACAGAATCCAATATTAATAACTTTATTATTAATAATGCCAGAGGGAACGCTTATTTCCCAGACAAAGTTGTCTGTCTGCAGGAAAGTTTGACAGCTTGACCAGAGATTGAGAATTTGAGCGTGCCAGAGTATTTTGTCTCGTCTGGGATTCCTTGACTCAGCCTTAATAAGTATCTTGTCACTCTTTTTGTCTCTCCAAAACCAGAAATTAAGTAACATCTTCTGTAAAGTGTAATAATGTGTCAGAATGCAATAAAGTGGATGGCTATGAAATGCAATCACATTGCCACATTATGACATATTACGGTATTTCTTAATAAAGGTGCAACTTGTTACTTTACTTGAAATGTAACTCCAATCCTAACAAAAAATGTGCCAAACCTTTTAGATGAATATTTTTTTTAGCCGCTATGCTTAATGTACTAGCAGTAGAGGACCATTTACTTTGCTAAAATATGTAGAACCAAGATAGTACAATACTGGTAAGTAAAGCATTTGGAACTTGAGTTACTACAAAAACAGCCCCTCAGGAGTTTTACATGTATTCATTAGGTGGTGAATGAATGGTAAAATATGTAAACTTTGATGTTCTGCTCAACCCAAAAAAAACTATCAATGCAGCTTTAAATGAGCTTCACTTTGACCAGCGGCAATAATAATGCTGCTTAATCTGTTGTGATGGCCCAGCCGGTGGGCAGTACCCCACATGACTGAGTACAGCCAAACGAAGGCAATCAAGAGGCATAGTGTTGGACGGGCGGTAACACCCCAGAGGATTCTCATAGGGAACTCTGCCCCACCCAGGTGTCTCTGGTTGTCCCTCACAGGTTGATTGAGTCAATCTGGCAATCAGGGAGGAGAGACTGTCTTGAGCTACTGAGGTGTGAGAACCAGACGCCTTCCAAACGAGGCTCAGGGTAAGAGGCCCTTCTGGATTGCTGAAGAGGAATAATCGCTGTCTCTCTGTCTTGTCTCAGAAAGAGCCCGACGGAGCCCCTGACGCCAACTAGCAGTCCGGTGACGCTTTTTGACTTACTCTTTTTTGTGCCCCCTCCCTTCTCCCCCTCAGTTCATAGAATATTTTTCAATTTGTGAACCCACTGTTTACCCTTGTAAGGTTCCTACAGTGTCAAGAACTATAACCGTGTAATCATGTAACCGCCTGACGGTTCAAGGTTTCCTATAAGGTTAATAAGCTACTTCCTCAAGATTAATTGTAAATGTATACAATTGAGATGCAACGCAGTGTTTGCAATATGACAACGCTTTGCGAGTATTTGTTGTGATAATGCTATATTTACTAAACCCTTTGCTACACTACTTTTATCAAATAAAAGTGGGATTGTATAAAAGAAACTGCAAAGTAACCAGCACTATAGCTGTCAAATAACTGTGGTAAAAGTATAAAGGAGTGTTGCAATTGAGTTCAGGTGCAGTTGAATTCAAGCAATGCACCTTGAAATTCTCCACCACTACATACTTAAAGTATTACTCAGCACCCCTCGGAGGTGCTGTATGAATCAGGGTCGATTCATCTTTCAACACCTTCACCTTCTCATCTCTCTGAGTGAAAGCATGTCCAAGCTCAAGTACCACAGCAATATCTTTTTTTACAATTTAGAGACCTGGCACCAGAGTGTGACCTCTGCCTGCTGCTGATAGCTCTGTCCTGTGAGCGTGTCAATACTCACTGGACTTATCTCCAAGAAACTAAAACAAGAATCTCCTTGCCAAATAGCCTAAACACATTTCAATGACTAAGTCTGTGAGAGAGGTTTAACAATATTCCGCATTGCAGTTGCATACCGGCCAACTTGACTTTTAAATACTTATTGTAACAATGTGATAAAAACTACTTAACTTCTACAAAAGTGGGTAAAATAAAAATTAAATGATTACCACTTAGTGTAGAAAGCGCTGTCAAAAGTCTTTTGACTTACCGTGAAATGGCATTTGGACGCCGTCTTTGTTATCTCCACGTGCTGTTCTTTGAAACAGATTGTCGGAGGAAAGGCAGCAGCTGAAGTCAGTGGGACACCAGGTTTGTTTAAGAGAGAATCTGGAGCTTTGACCTTGAAGCATTAAAATGTTTGTAATAATAATAATAAAGCATCAAGATTTTAATTGTCAGGCTGTTTTTTGTGTTCATGAGACATGGAAAAACCTTTTGGATCAATTCTGAGGTAGAACATTGAACACATGATCGATCAGAGGTCCGTTTCAAGAAGCTGGTTTAGTGGAAACTCAGTTTGTTAACCCTGAGATGAGGGAAACTCTGGCTTGTCTGTTTCACAAAGGGAGGTAACTAAAGCTCCGGGTCAGTCGCCATGGTAACTGAGCCTGTGAACCTAACCTGGTCGGCAGCAGGTTTTCTTCAATAAACCTTGAGTTTCTTTCACAGTCTCCTCCCTCTGACAGCAGCCCAGCCAATCACACACCGTGCTTTCATTTCCTCATTCATTCA